AGGAGTAACGCTCCTGCTCAGCGATACTCCGGGAGTAACACACCTGCACACTGGGTTCCATTTTTGCTGATGGTCGTCAGTAATATTCCTGGACACTAATATGTCGGGAGTAAGTTTCCCAAACACTGATAGTAGGAATTACACTGATATCAAAGAGTTACACTCATTGACACTGATAATATTTTAAGAGGTGTTAAGTCGTGCTAGTTAGGAGAAGATTGCAGTAATCATATTCTCTCATGTGTGCTCTCACACTCTCTCAGCACCTGTTTCTCTGAAGGTTTTATCATCAGGTTGAATGACAGAGCAGAGACTGTTCAAGACCAAGGTGCCCAGTTTGGTTGAGTTTCGTTCAGCAGATTTATAATAATCCAGTGAGTTACTATTCAGCAAAAACCAACGCTTCTTCAGTTTCAATGACGAGGTTTTCCCACTGCTCCTCATCTCTTTATGGAGCCAACCTTGAACAAGAGAACACAAGGTTCAGCACAGAGACCCAGAGCTCCCCTCCCTCCCCAGCCCACACCCAGTCCCAGAACAGATACCAAACCCCCACACTGAGAACCCTTGTCATAAGGACCCAGCAGTCAAAGAACCCCTCACAAGGAGATCCTGCCTCCACTACCTTCACCTTTTGTACCTGGCCAGGCAGCTCACCCACTGGAATATATATAAATGAGGCACTGAAAGCTGACATGCAGTGTCAAGCTATAACAAGCTATTAGGAAAGCTAACAGAATGTTTGCCTTTATTGCTGGAGGATTTGAATACACGAGTAGTGAAGTATTGCTTTAGTTGTACAGGAGCTTGGTTAGACTGCTTCTGGAGTAATGTGTGCAGTTCTGTCTCCTTATCTCTAAAAAGATGTTATCGCTATTGAGAGGGAGTGCAGCGAAGGTTCACTAAACATGTTCCTGGGGAGGCAGGACTGACCTGTGGAAGTTTGGGCAAACTGGGCCCGTATAGACAGGGTAGATGCAGGTAAGATGTTTTCTCTGGTTGGGGAGTTAATAACCAAGGGCACAATTAAGGGAGATACCATTTAAGGCCAAGATGTGGAGAATTTATTTTACTCAGTTGCGAACCTTTGGAATTCTCTACCATAGAAGGCTGTAGAAGCTCAGTATTTGAGTATGTTTAAGATAGGGACAGATAGATTTCTGACTCCAGTGGTGTCCAACATCATGGGGATGGAGCGGGTAAAAGGCAGGGAACTGTTTCTTCAACCATGATAATGTTAAATGGTGGAGCAGGCTCAATGGGCTGAATGGCCTGTTCCTACATTCTAAAATGTTGCGTTTACCCCTTATATTGATACTTTTCTGAATTGTCCAGATGAGAGCAATGCAAAAAGCTTTAACAAAATATGGCTTTTCTCAGCAATAACCAAATTCTTTAAAACCAAAATAACTGGTGTTCTTTAGGAAGATAAACCAACCATCTTTACCTGTTTTGACCTAAACCTGACTCCAAACACACAGAAATATGTTTGACTTTTAATGATCCTTCCAAAATAGCCTAAAAGCCTCTCAGTTCAAGTGTAATTAGGGATGGTCAGTAAATGCTGGTAGTGACACTCACATCTCACAATGAGCCAATCTGTACACTGTCTGCATGGGGCTGGGAGATTCTGTGACCACAAGACTCAGAGGGAACAGGAACTATGAGGATGGGACACCAAGCAAATAACAACAAACAAACTGTGTTCTACATCTGTTCCAGGCACATTTCCCCAAACATACGCACATCACCGCTAACACCCCACCCTCACCCCCAGTGTAGAACCAGCTTCCCTCCCCCAACCCCAATCCCTGAGCCTCATTTACCACGAACAATGAATTCTTGTCCCAGGTTCATGGCATCTCCCTTGGATTTCTGAAGCAGGGATATCCAGTGATGCATTTCCTCTGGACTGACGGAGTTACAGTGAATCACACGTGTCGCGAGGATAATCACAAAAGAATTTGGTCTGAAAGCAAAAAACAGATTGGAAAAACATTCACCTTCCCCACATTCCCATCCTGTCCTGGAGGTGTTGATTCTCACTGGAGAACAGGTTCCAATACTGCACAGGGTTACATACCAAGTAAAGCTCCCTCTACACTGTCCCTATCAAACACTCCCAGGGACAGGACAGTATGTGGTTCAATACAGAGTACAGCTTCCCCTACAGTGCCCCCATCAAATACTTCCAAGACAGGGACAGCATGGGGTTAGACATGAGTAAAGTTCCCTCTACACTGTCCCTATCAAACACTCCCAGGACAGGGACAGCACAGGGTTAGATACCGAGTAAAGCTCCCTCTACACTGTCCCCATCAAACACTTCCAGGACAGGGACAGCACAGGGTTAGATACCGAGTAAAGCTCCCTCTACACTGTCCCCATCAAACACTTCCAGGACAGGGACAGCATGGGGTTAGACACCTAGTAAAGCTTCCTCTACACTGTCCCCACATCAAACACTCCCAGGACAGGAACAGCACTAATGCCATGTCTCTCACTCACACCTGAAGGAGAGAGACTCTGAAAGCTTGTGTCTTCAAATAAACCTGTTGGACTACAACCTGGTGTTGTGTGATTTTTGACTTTCGACAGGGACAGCACTGGGTCAGATACAGAGGAAAGTTTCCTCTCTTCTTCTCACAGAAAGTACAGCATTCCCTACACTGTCCCTGTCAAACACTCTCAGGAAAGGAACAGCACAGGGTTAGGTCCAGAGCAAAGCCCACTCTACACTGCCCCCATCAAACATTCTCAGGAGAGGTCCAGCAGTAGAGATTCAACTACAAAGTATCTACTTGTGCCGTTCTCTGCACCTATAAATTACGTTCTTAAAAATAGTTAATATGTCAAATTCAATTTTCATTTTGGAAAACCATGTTGATGTTGATGTTGATGTTTCTTTGATTGTCTAAATGCATTGGGGACTTTGCTACATCACTGTCCAACCCTTTCCCTATGACTGATGTTAGGTTTAATTAGTTTGTAGTTCTCTATTTTCTCTCCCTCTCTCTCTCTCTTTTATTGAATATTTGCTAATTTCCCATTGGCTGGTTCCATTCTAGCCTCCAGTGAAATTGAGAAAGAGAGGAGCAGCAGTTCTGGTCTCTCAGTCCAGGCCATCAAGGACTAATATGTCAGGAAGCACTTCGTCACACAAGGGAGAGGAGGAATCTGGAATTGTCTTACTGCAGAAATCCGATGACGCTGGAGGTCAATAGATTTTTGCTTGGTAACTGGAATATGGAGAAAGGCTAGGAAACAGGGTAAAGGTACAGATCAGCCTGATCTAGATAAATCCAGGGGCTAACGTGCCTCCTCTTGTTCCTGTGTAATGGACTCAAAAGGCTGAAAGGTGTCCTCCTTGTTTGTATATCAGGCATAAGGGACTGAATGGTCTCCTGTTCCTGAGACACTCAATATTACCTGTCAGGGTTGTCAGAGGCGCACACAGACTCAATCAATCCAACATCCACAGTGCCCTGCACCAAAGAAACAGAACACAGAATCAGATTAATCACTGTCACTTGCAGGCACAGTGGCACTTATCCTACATCGACCAATCTCAGAATTCTCAATTTTGTAGCTTTCAGATCTCAGGCTTACATATCTCAGCAAACACAAGAGACAATCTAAGCAATGTCATAAGTCAAATAGGCATGACTTTTCCGAATAACCCAAAATCAAATTAACACAAGTGGGGTTAGATCCAGAGTAAAGCTCTCTCTACTCCTTTAAACTAAAAGTAAAGCTCTCTCAACACTGCCCCCACTCAAAAACTCCAGGGCAAGCAGAGCATAGGGTTAGGTACAGAGTAAAGCTGCCTCTACACTATCCCCCATCAAACACTCCCAGGACAGGGACAGCATGGGGTTAGATACAGAGTAAGGCTCCCTCTACACTGTCGCCATCAAACACTCCCAGCACAGGGACAGCACAGGGACAGCACAGGGTTAGATACGGAGTAAAGCTGCCTCTACGCTGCCCCCATCAAACAATCCCAGGATATGGATAGTATGGGGTTAGATACAGAGCAAGGTTCCCTCTCTTTTTTCAGAACAAAGAACCGTACAGCACAGGAACAGGCCATTCGGCCCACCAAGACAGTGCTGACACATGATGCCTTTCTAAACTAAAATCTTTTTGCTTCTACATGGTCCATATCCCTCTATTCCTGCCTATTCATGTATCTGTCAAGATGCCTCTTAAATACTGCTATTGTATCTGCTTCAACCACCTCCTCCAGCAGCACATTCCAGGTGCTTACCACCCTCTGTGTAAAAAACCTGCCTCTCACATACTGGTTAAACCTACCCCCTTTTTACCTTAAATCTATGTCCCCTAGTTTCTATCCTGGGAGAAAGACTCCAACTGTCCACTCTATCAATGCCTCTCATAATTTTGTAAACCTTTTTCAGGTTGCCCCTCAGTCTCTGGCATTCAAGTGAAAACTAACCAATTAAACCACTTCTGTTCCCTCTCCAAAGCCTCCACATCCCTCTGGTTGTGTGGTGACAAGAACTGTATATAATATTCCAAATGTGGCATAACTGAAGTTCTGTACAGCTGCAACATGATTTGCCAATTTTTATACTCTATGCTTCAGCTGTTGAAGGCAAACATGCTCCTTGACCATCTTATCCACTTATGTTGCTACTTTCAGGGAACTGTGCACCTCCATGCCTAGATCCCTCTGTGTGTTGATGCTAACAAGGGTACTGCCATTTACTGTATACTTTCCTCTTGCATTAGACCTTTCAAAATGCGTCACCTCACATTTATCAAGATTAACTCCATCTTTCATTTCTCTGTCCAAGTCTCCAGCCTATTTATATCCTGCTGCATCCTCTGGTAATCCTCCTCACCATCTACAGCTCCTCCAATCTTCGTGTCATCCGCAAGCTTACTCATCAGGCCACCTACATTCTCCTCCAAATCATTTACATACATTACAAACAACAGGGGTCCCAGCACTGATCCCTTCAGAATACCACTGGGCACAGATCTTCGGTCAGAAAAACACCATTCCACAACTACTCTCAGGCTCAGCCAGTTCTTTATTCATTTTACCAGCTCACCATGTGATCTCATCTTTTGTATCAGCCTGCCATGAGGGCCCTTGTCAAACGCCTTGCTAAAGTCCACATAGACAATATCCAATGGCCTGCCCTCATTCTTTGTCACTTCCTCAAAAAACTCAATCAAGTTTCTGAGACATAACCTCCCCTGGATGAAGCCATACTGCCTATTGCTAATGAGTCAATATTTTTCCAAATGTGAATAAATCCTGTCCCTAAGAATCTTCTCCAAAAATTTCCCTACTACTGACATAAGGCTCACTGGCCTGCAAATTTTCTGATTATCCCTGTTGCCTTTCTTAAAAAAAGGAACAATGTTGGATATTTTCCAGTCCTCTGGGACCTCACCTGTGACTAAAGAGGATACAACGACTTCAAAAAAGGCCCCAGCAATTTCCACTCCCTAAGCTTTTTGGGATTGTTCCCATCAGGTCCTGGGGACCTGTCTACCTTAATACTTTTCAAAACACCCAACATCTCATCCCTTTTTATAATGTCCTATAATATGAACATATCCCTCTCTAGAGTCGCCATCCACCAAGTATTCGTGAAGGACCTCACCCACTTCTTCCAGATCCAGGCATAAATTCCCTTCTTTGTTCTTGAGTGGACCTACCCTTTTCCTAGCTACCATCTTGTAGCTTATATATGTATAAAAAAAACCTTGGGATTTTTCTTAATCTTGTTTGCCAAGGTCATTTCAACATCCCTTTTAGTTCTGCTAACTCCTTGTTTACTTTCTTTCCTCAAGAGCTCTGCCTGTCTTCAGTTTCCTTAACCTTATACATGCCTCCTTTTTCTCTCTAACTAAGTTCACAATTTCTCTTGTCATCCAAGGTTCGCAAATCATGCCATCCGTATCCATCATGTATATAAGAACATGCTGGTCCTGAACTCTAATCAACTGGCCTTTAAAAGATTACCACTCGTCAAATGTGGAATTACCCTCAAACAGCTGCTCCTAATCTACATTCCTCAGTTACTGTCTAATATTGTCATAGGCAGCTTTCCCCGAGTGTAGTACTTCCACGTGAGGACTACTCTTATCCCTATCCATAAGTAACTTAAAACTTGGGGAATTACGGTCATTCTTCCCCAAATACTCCCCCTCTGAAACTTCAATCACCTGGCCGGGCTAATTGCCTAATACTAGATCTCGTATGGCCTCTTCTTTAGTTGGACTATTTACATATTGTTTTAAAATACTGTCCTGGACACACCTAACAAACTCTCCCCCAAAACAAGCCCCTAAACACTAAGGGAATCCCAGTCAATAAGGGGAAGTTAAAATCACCTACCACAACAACCCTGTTGTTTTCACATTTTTCCGTAATCTGTCCATATATCTGTTCCTCTATCACTTGCTGGCTGTGGAAGCCCTGTAGTACAATCCCATCAAAGTGACTGCACCTTTCCAACCCCGAGCTCTATCCATATGGCTTCACTGGATGAGCCCTCCAAGGTGTCCTCCCTCTGTACAGCTCTGATATTCTCCTTTATCAATAATGCAACTCTCCCACCTCTTTTACATTCCTAACTTGCCTGAAACATCTAAATTCTGGGATGTTAAGCTGCCAGACTTGTCCCTCTTTCAACCTAGTCTCTGTCATAGCTACAACATCACAGTTATATATGTTACTCAAGACTCTAAGTTCATCTGCTTTACCCATCATACTCCGCACATTGAAATAAATGCACTTCAGACCTCCGGTCCCATCATGTTTTTTTTTCTATTCATTTGTGGGATGTGGGTGTCTCTGGCTGGGCCCAGCATTTCTTGCCCGTCCCTAGTTACCCCTTGATAAGGTGGGGGGTGAGCTGCCTTCTTGAATCGCTGCAGTCCATGTGCTGTAGGTTGACCCACTTTGCCCTTAGCGAGGGAATTCCAGGATTTTGACCCAGTGACAGTGAAGAAACGGTGATATATTTCCGATATATTTCAGGATGGTGAGTGGCTTGGAGGGGAACATGAAGGTGGTGGAGTTCCCAATTGTCTGCTGCCCTTGTCCTTCTGGATGGAAGTGGTCATGGGTTTTGAAAGTGCTGTTGGAGGATCTTTGGTGAATTTCTGCAGTGCATCTTGTAGATAGTACACACTGCTGCGACTAAGCGTCGGTGGTGGAGGGAGTGAATGCTTGTGGATGTAGTGCCAATCAAGCGGGCTGCTTTGTCCTGGATGGTGTCGAGGTTCTTGAGTGTTGTTGGGGCTGCTCTCATCCAGGCAAGTGGGGAGTATTCCATCACACTCCTGACTTGTGCCTTGTAGATGGTGGACAGGCTTTGAGGAGTCAGGAGGTGAGTTACTAGCTGCAGTATTCCCAGCTTCCAGCCTGCTTTTGTAGCCACTCTGTTAATGTGGTGAGTCCAGTTGAGTTTCTGGTTAATGGTAACCCCCAGGGTGTTGATAGTGGGGGATTCAGTGATGGTAACACCATTGAATGTCAAGGGGCAGTGGTTAGATTGTCTCTCATTGGTGATGGTCATAGCCTGGCATTTGTGTGGCACGAATGTCACTTGCCACTTGTCAGCCCAAGCCTGGATATTGTCCAGATCTTGTTGCATGTGAACATGGACTGCTTCAGTATCTGAGGAGTCACGAATGGTGCTGAACATTGCAATCATCAGCGACATCCCCGCTTCTGACCTTATCATGGAGGGAAGGTCATTGATGAAGTAGCTGAAGATGGTTGGGCCTAGAACACGACCCTGAGGAGCTCCTGCAGAGATGTCCTGGAGCTGAGATGATTGACCTCCCACAACCACGACCATCTTAGAACATAGAACATAGAACATTACAGCGCAGTACAGGCCCTTCGGCCCTTGATGTTGCGCCGACCTGTGAAACCAATCTGAAGCCCATCTAACCTAACCTATTCCATTATCATCCATATGTTTCCTATGTGTCAGGTATGACTCCAACCACCAGAGCGTTTGCCCCCTGATACCCATTGATTCCAGTTTTGCTAGGGATCCTTGATGCCACACTCGGTAGAATGCAGCCTTGATATCAAGGGCTGTCACTCTCAACTCATCTCTGGAATTCGGCTCTTTTCTCCACATTTGAACCAAGGCTGTAATGAGGTCGGGAGCTGTGTGTCCCTGGCGGAAACCAAACTGGGCGTCACTGAGCAGGTTATTTCTGAGCAGGTGCTGTTTGATAGCACTGTTGATGACTCCTTCCATCACTTTACTGATGATCAAGAGGACACTGATGGGGAGGTAATTGGCCGGGTTGGATTTGTCCTGCTTTTTGTGTACAGGACATACCTGGGCAATTTTCCACATTGTCGGGTAGATACCAGTGTTGTAACTGTACTGGAACAGCTTGGCTAGGGGAGCGGCAAGTTCTGGAGCACAGGTCTTTGGTACTATTGAGGGCCGAAGGGCCTGTACTGTGCTGTAATGTTCTATGTTCTATTGTCAGGATGTTGTCAGGGCCCGTAGCCTTTGCGGTATCCAGTGATTCCAGCTGTTTCTTGATATCACATGGAGTGAATCGAATTGGCTGAAGACTCTAATGCTGGGAACTACTGGAGGAGGCCGAGATGGATCATCCACTCAGCCCTTCTGAGTGAAGATTGCTGCGAATGCTTCAGCCTTATCTTTTGCGCTGATGTGCTGGGCTCTTCCATCATTGAGGATAGGGATATTTGTGAAGCCTCCTCCTCCAGTCAGTTGTTTAATTGTCCACCACCATCCACGACTGGATGTAGCAGGACTGCAGAGCTTAGATCTGATCCATTGGTTGTGGGATCACTTGGCACTATCACTTTGTTACTATGTTGTTTGACATGCAAGTAATCCTGTTTGATGTCTTCACCAAGTTGACACCTCATCTTCAGGTATGCCTGGTGCTGCTCTGAAATGCCCTCCTGCACTCTCCATTGAACCAGTGACATCCCCCTGACTATTCCTCCTCTTAGTCTTATTAGCCACAGTCTTGAACTTTTCCTCAGTTATTTCACTTGCTGACCCTCTGCTCTGGTTCCCACCCTGCTGCCACAATAGTTTAAACCCTTCTGAGTAACACCAGCTGGAGCTGAAAGTAAAAGCTCCCACCTACACTGTTCCCATCAAACATTCCCAGGACAGGGACAGCATGGGGTTAGATACAGCATAAAGTTCGCTCAGCTCTCTTAAACTGAAAGTAAAGCCCCCTCAACATTGCCCCTTCAAACATTTCTAGAACAGTACACAGTGCTCAATACAAAGTAAAACTCCCTCTTATGTGGCTTCTCTCCATCTCTTTGATGGCTTCATTCTGTGTGTTATTGTGAGTTTGAGGTACAGTAAGCTGACACTTACCACTGCGTTCTTTGGATTTGCCTGTTCATCACGCATCTCTCGCAACTGCTGCTGTGTCGCACTGTGAACACCACTTAGTACATTGAACCAATCACTGTCCAGAAAAAACACATCAATGAACAGCATCTCATCATCACTGTGTCCCCATGTACCTTCTCCTCTCTCACCCCTGCCCCACTTCCACACCTCCTCTTTCCACCTGTCTCCTCTGCACCATCAGCCAGACAATTTTCTCTTCAAGACTCACTCAACAGGAGAGCAACAATTAGCCATTTTGGGAATTGAATCAACACATTTATGCCAATGGTGATGCAGTGGGTACTGACTCTCAGCACATTCCTCCCATTACAGTCATAAAATTCCAACATTAGCTTCCTAGGCCCTGAGCTCAGGAATTCCTTCCCGAAACCTCCCTAAACTTCTCAATATCATGTTACCTTTAAAATGGTCTTAACTTTCCTCTGAGTAATTGTTCAGTCACCTCATGTAATTCCTAGTCCCTCCTTCCATTTGACTTGTTGGAATGCTTTGTTTAGCAAGCTCCCATGAGGCACCTTCTGCTCTTTCACTACTTTCATGGAGTTATATGAATAAAAGTTGTTGCTCATTTAGATACACATGGCTGGGTTAAGGGACATGGCTATCAGGAACACAGCAGGCCAGGCAGCATCAGAGGAGCAGGAAAGCTGACATTTTGGGTCAGGACCCTTCTTTAGAAATTCTGAAGAAGGGTCCCGACCCTAAACGTCAACTTTCTTGCTCCTCTGATGCTGCCTTGCCTGCTGTGTTCCTCCAGCTCCACGCTGTGTTATCTCTGATTCCAACATCGGCAGTTCTTGCTATCTACATGGCTATCAGGTTAGAGGTCAGCTCCTCGGAATGGTTAAACCATAAGGAAATATGTAGCCAGACAGTGGACAGCTGGAGAGCACTAGCAGTGGCAGGGCAGTGGCACTCAGTGAGTACACTGATAGGCTGAATGGCTTCCTGCTGTGTTGGAACCATTGTATAATTCACTATCGCAAGGACACAGCAGGTCAAGAAGGCAGCTCACAACAACCTTTGCCAAAGCAATTAGAGACACGAAATAAATGCTGGCCCAGCCAGTAACCCCCACATTCCATCTATGCATCCCCCACTGGTTTGTCTGTCCGGAACCCCCTGGAGAGCTGTACCACATACTTTAATCTGCACCTCCCCACTGAACAACAAAAGAAAACAAGGATACCTGGCATCTTGAGGAGACTCAGCGACGATGTGATAGATTCTCTCATCTGTCACCACATCCAGAGCATTTTCCTTCTCCCCATTATCCACAATTTCTCTGCAGAGACAGTGAAACAACATAATAATACACCATCAGCTTTGAGAACAAATATAGTAGAGGGAGGAGAATCAGGACAATTTTGGAAGATCCAATTCAAGAGCGATCTATATGGTAAATGGAAAAGCCCTGGGGAAAATTGATGCACAGAGAGATCCGGGTGTTCAGGTCCATTGTACCCTGAAGGTGGCAACGCAGGTGGATAGAGTGGTCAAGAAGGCATACGGCATGCTTTCATTCATCGGACGGGGTATTGAGTACAAGAGTTGGCAGGTCATGTTACAGTTGTATAGGACTTTGGTTCGACCACATTTGGAATACTGCATACAGTTCTGGTCGCCACATTACCAAAAGGACATGGATGCTTTGGAGAGGGTGCAGAGGAGGTTCACCAGGATGTTGCCTGGTATGGAGGGCGCTAGCTATGAAGAGAGGTTGAGTAGATTAGGATTATTTACATTAGAAAGACAGAGGTTGAGGGGGGACCTGATTGAGGTCTACAAAATCATGAGAGGTGTAGACAGGGTGGATAGCAAGAAGCTTTTTCCCAGAGTTGGGGACTCAATTACTAGGGGTCACGATTTCAAGGTGAGAGGGGAAAAGTTTAAGGGAGATATGCGTGGAAAGTTCTTTACGCAGAGGGTGGTGGGTGCCTGGAACGCATTGCCAACAGAGGTGGTAGAGGCGGGCACGATAGCGTCATTTAAGATGTATCTAGACAGATACATGAATGGGCAGGGAGCAGAGGGATACAGATCCTTGGAAAATAGGCGACAGGTTTAGATAGAGGATCTGGATCGGCGCAGGCTTGGAGGGCCGAAGGGCCTGTTCCTGTGCTGTAATTTTCTTTGTTCTTTGTTCTTTGTTCTAGGACAGGAATCAGGAATGCATCATCAGACTAGGGAGATAGTTGATCCATGGCAGATAAAATCCAGTCTAGAGAGCTGTGAGGTTCAAGAAAGTGAGGAGATGCAGATTAAAGCATATGGCACAATTCTACATGGGGTTCAGAACAGAAAATTCTGCTGGGCGTGTGGGGTAACCATACACAAATTGTTGAAGGTAGTGGGACAAATCCAGAATTCTGTTTAAAACCATACAGGATCCTGTATTTAAAACAGAGTTGAAAATTAAGGCAGTTACTCGAGTACTCATAACCCTGTGGGTAAACACAAAATTCTTAAATCCCCTCCAAGACTACTGCTCCTTACCTTAAAGCTGTACCTCTTGGTTACTGAACCCTCCACTAAAGAGAAATGTTTCTCCCTATCTGGTCTGTCTATGCCCCTCAGACCTTTCTGTATCTCAATCAGGACCCCCTCAACATTCTCTGTTCTAAGGAAAACAACTCCTGCTTATCTGGTCTCTCTTCATAGTTGAATCACCCCAGCTCAAGCAACGTCCTGGTGAATCTCCTCTGCACCATCTCTAGTGCAATCACATCCTTCCAATAGTGCAGTGACATGAGGAGGCGACAGGTTAGTTGTATTATCGATGAACTGTTAATCCAGTCACTCAGGTACTGGTTCCTGGGTTCGAATCCCCCAGGAACAGATAGTGGAATTTGAATTCAATAAAAATTGGGAATTAACAGCGAAATGATGACCATGCTGATTGTTGGGAAAAACCCATCTGGTTCAATAATGTCCTTTAGGGAAGGAAACTGCCATCCCTACCTGGTGTGGCCTACACATGACTCCAGACCCACAGCAATGTGGTTGACTCTTAACATGCCCTCTGGGCAATTAGGGATGGGTAATAAATGTTCATTGTCCTGTGAATGAATTTTTTAAAAAACTGCACAGTACACCAGCTAACTAATTTTATATACAGCTTCATCATAACCTCCTTGCTCTTGTATTCAATGCCTTGACTATTCCAGGCAAGTATTCCATTTGCCTTCTTAACCACCCTATCCTCCTGCCTTCAAGGTGGTCCTACCATTCAATATGTTGTCCCCTACCTTGTTCGTCCTCCCAAAAAGCATTACCTCATACTTTTCAGGGTTAAATTCCATTTGCCATTTTGTTCAGCCTGTCTGATCAGCCTGTCTCAATCATTCAGCAGTCTAAGATTTTCCTGCTCACTATTTACCACACCACCAATCTTCGCATCATGTGCAAACATACTGAGTACTCTCATGTCTCGATCATTAACGTACAGAACAAACAGCAAAGGGCCCAAAAACTGAGCCCTGCAGAATTCAGGATTACAGGGAAAATGCAAGAAAGTTTCCTCCGATGTGAGGAATGTCAGATCAGCCATGATCCTATTGAATGGCAAATCAAGTTCGAGGGGCTAAAAAGCCGAGTCCTGTTCCTATTTCTTATGGAACCACACTGGTCACAGGCTTCCAGTCACAAAAACGTGGACCATTTGCTTCCTGTCACTAAGCCAATTTTAGATCTAATTTGCCAAACTGTCCTGGATCCCATGGGCTCTTAGCTTCTTGGAGTCTTCCATGAGAGACCTTGTCAATATCCTTATTGAAGTCCATGTAGACTATGTCCATTGCACTACCCTCAATTACACTTAGTCACCTCCTCAAAAAAATTCAATCAAACCTGTCAGACATGATCTCTGCTGTCTATCCTTGATTAATCCTGGCCTCTCCAAGTGGAAATTAATTCTGGCCCTATGAATTGTTTTCAATAGTTTTCTGATGGCAGATATTAGACTCACTGGCCTATATTTCCTGGTTTATCCCTCCTACACTTCTTGAATAACGGTATCACAATATTTATCCTCCATACCTCTGCACCCCTTCTGTGGCCAGAGAGGAATTCAAAATTATTTCAGGCTCTTGCAAAATCATTCCTAGCCTGGGATACATCTCATCTGGGCCTGGGGTTTTATCCATTTTCAAGCCTGGCACCTCCTCCCTCTCAATGCCAGTTTGTTCAAGGATATAATAATTCCCAGCCCTGATTTCTAGACCTAATTTGTCCTTCTCTGTTGTGACTACAGATCTTCTAGCTGCACACACTGTATGCCACTTTGATCCATAACACCATAAGACATAGGAGCAGAAATTAAGCCATTCGGTCCATTGATTGTGCTTTGGCATTCAATCATGGCTGATAAGTTTCTCAACCCCATTCTCCCGTTTTGGATCCCCTTAACAGTCAAGAACCTATCTCTGTCTTAAATATACACAATGATTTGGCCTCCTCAACCTTCTGTAGCAATGAATTCCAATAGATTAAGACATTTCTCCTCATCTCAATTCTAAAGGATCTTCCCTTTACTCTAAGGCTGTGCCCTCGAGTTCCTGTCTCTCCTACCAATGGAAACATCTTCCCAATGTCCACTCTGTCCAGACCATTCAGTACTCTGTAAGTTTCAATTAGATCACTCCTCATCCTTCTAAACTCCATTGAGTATAGACCCAGAGTCCTCAAACGTTCCTCTTATGTTAAGCTTTTCATTCCTGGGACCATTCTCATGAACCTCCTCTGAATCCGCTCCAGGGTCAGTACATCTTTCCTGAGGAATGGAGCCCAAAACTGCACAAAATATTCAAAATGTAGTCTGACCAGACTCTTATAAAGCCTCAGAAGTACATTCCTGCTTTTATATTCTAGTCTTCTCGAAACAAATGCCAACGTTGTATTTGCCTTCCTAACTACCAACTTAACCTGCAAGTTTACCTTCAGAGAATCCTAGACTAGAACTCCCAAGTCCCTTTGCACTTCAGATTTCTGAATTTTCTCCCCATTAGAAAATAATCTATGCCTCTATTCTTCCTACCAAAGTGCATGACCTCACACCTTCCCACGATCTCTAACAGACCCTACTCTTTCCCTGGAACAAAAACAGAAGTTGCTGGAAAAGATAAGTAGGTCTGGCAGCACCTTGAAGAAAACATCAGAGTTAACATTTTTGGTCCAGTGACTCTTCCTCGTTCCCTGGTTATTCTCATGCCCTTTATACTTATACAACGCCTTTGGATTTTCCTTAATGTTATCTGCCAGTGTTCTTTCATATCCGCTCTTTGCTCGACTATTCTATTCTTATAATTACAAAGAACAAAGAACACTACAGCACAGGCACAGGCCCTTCGGCCCTCCAAGCCTGCGCTGACACATTTTGCCCCTCCATACTAAAACTGTCTTCATTTACAGGATCCGTATCCCTCTATTCCTTTCCTATTCATGTATTTGTCCAGATGTTTCTTGAATGTTGCTATTGTGTCTGCTTCCACCACCACCTCTGGCAGCGGGTTCCAGACACACACTACCCTTTGTGTGAAAAACATGCCTCGCACATCTCTTTTAAACTCCACACCCTCACACCTTGAACCTTTGTCCCCAAGTAACTGACCCCTCCATCCTGGGAAAAAGCTTCATACTTTCCACTGTATCCAAGCCATTCACAATCTTATAAACTTCTATCAGGTTATGCCTCAACTTCCTGCATTCCAATGAAAACAAACTCAGTCTATCCAACCTTTTTCACAGCTAAATTTCCCTCATACCAGGAAACATCCTGGTAAACCTTTTCTGTACCTCTCCAAAGCATCCACATCCTTCTGGTAGTGTGGTGACGAGAATTGTACACAATATTCCAAGTGAGGCCGAACTAAAGTTTTAGAAAGCTGCAGCATAACTTGCCTATCCCTATACTCAATGCCCCTTCGAATGAAGGCAAGCATGCCATATGCCATTTTTACTGCTTTATCTACTTGCACTGTTACAGTGGAAACTATATAGTGAATGGCAAAACCCTTAGCAGTATTGCTATGTAGAGGAATCATAGAATCTGCATATGCATGGCTGCATGGTGGCTCAGTGGTTAGCACTGCTGCCTCACAGTGCCAGGGACCCAGGTTCGATTCCAACCTCGGGCAGCTGTATGGAGTTTGCTCATTCTCCCCGTGTCTGCATGAGTTTCCTCAGGGTGCTCTAGTTTCCTCCCTCTGTCCAAAGATGTGCAGGCTAGGTGAATTGGCTGTGCTAAATTGCCCATAGTGTAGATTAGGTGGATGGGATGCTCTGAAGGTTGGTGTGGACACGTTGGGCCAAAGGGCCTGTTTGCACACTGTAGGGATTCTGTGATCCCTCTACATAGCAATACTCCTAAGGGTTCTGCCATTCACTGTATAATTTCCACCTGTACTTGACCTTTCAAAATGCATCACCTCACATTGTCCAGATTAAACTCCATTGGTCATTTTTCTGCCCATACCTCCAACTGATCTACGTCCTGCCGTATCCTCTGACAATCCTTCTCACTATCCACAACTCCACTAATCTTTGTATCGTTTACAATATCACTAATTAGACCAGATACGTTTTCCTCCCAATCATTTACGTAGAACATATACAGCAGAGGTCCCAGCACTGATCCCTGTGGAACACCGTTAGTTACAGCCCTCCATTCTGAAAAGCATCCTTCCACCGCTACCCTCTGTCTCCTATGACTAAGCCAGTTCTGTGTCCATCTTGCCAGCTCACCCCTGATGCCATGTGACTTCACCTTTTGTACCAGTCTGCCATGACAGACCTTGTCAAAGGTTTTACTTAAGTCCATGTAGACAACATCGACCACTTTTCCCTCATCAATCATCTTTGTCATCTCCTCGAAACACTCGATCAAGTTAGTGAGGCATGATTTCTCCCGCACAAAGCCATGCTGTCTATCACTAATAAATCCATTTGCTTCTAAACGCATACACCTTCTTGTCCGGGAGAATCACTTCCAACAATTTCCCTACCACCAATGTGAGACTCACAGGCCTGTAATTTCCAGGATTATCCCTGCTACCCTTCTTAAACAATGAGACAACATTGGCTATTCTCCAGTCCTCTGGGACCTCATCTGTGGCCAAAGAGGATACAAAGATATCTGTCAATGCTCCCGCATTTTGCTTTCTTGCCTCCCTCAATATTCTGGGATAGATCCCAGCAGGACCCAGGGACTTATCTACCTTAATACTTTTTAAGACACACAACACTTCTTCCTTTTTAATAGCAACTTGGCTTAGAAACTCGACACTTCCTTCCTTGAGATCATCCTCCATCAATTCCTTCTCCTTGGTGAAAACTGACACAAAGTAATCATTTAGGACCTCACCTACCTGTTCTGTCTCCACACATAGTTCCCATCCTCCTAGACCTGACGTATACTTCCTTTTTCTTACCGATCAAGGTCATAACATCATTCACATAATTTGCTATCCTTCATTGTTGCAGGAATGTGCCGTTCCTGAACTCTTATCAACTGTCATTTGAAATACTCCCACATGTCCGATGTGAATTTACCCTCAAACAGCCACCTCCAATCAAAATCCTCCAGTTCCTGCCTTATATTGTTGTAGCTTGCTTTCCCCCAGTTTAATACCTTCACCCGAGGACTGCTGTTATCTCTATCCATGAGTATCTTAAAACTCACAGCATTATGGCTATTTCTCCCGAAATGCTCCCCCATTGAAATTTCACTCACTTGGCTGGGCTCATTCTCCAAACCAGGTCCAGTTTAACCCCTTCCCTGGTTGGACTGTTCACATGTTGAGTCAAGAAACGCTTCTGAATGGTCCCTACAAACACTGTCCCATTCAAGCTCCCACTACTTTGTCAGCCCCAGTCAATAAAGGGGAATTTAAAACCACCCACCACAACAACCCTGCTGTTTTTACATCTCTCCTAATTCTCTCCTAATTTATTTTTACGTTACACCCTGTATTTTCTATACTCCTCAAGGGCACCTGTGTTTTGAGTCTTCAGTATTGACAATAAGCCTTGCTTTTTTTTCTTATCCAAGCTTGTACTTCCCTTGACATCCAGACATCGCTGCACCTATTGGTCCCAGACATCTCCTCTATGGGATCATGTTGGCCTTACACTCATGATTTCCCTTTTGAATGCTCCCACTGCTCTGATGTGCATATTCCTACAACTGGCTGCTCCCAGTCCACTTTGGTCATGTCCTGTGTTATTTTATGAAAATGGGCCCTCAATTACAATCAGTGTTGGTGGTTGGTCAGGGGGAGTGGGGAGGGCAGGGTCTTCATGCCATAGGGCAGCTGACTGAACAGGTAGCCGTTTCACCTTGCCCCTCGGATATCGATCGTCCCTTTCAGCTTCTCTTCGCTGTCATTTTCGAAATACATGAGCCGGGTTTCTCGCAGCACAAACCAGCGGCGTTTCCAGTTCCTGCGAGACAGCGTGGACATTCCACCACCTTTTTTGTACAGCCAGCCTGACTTCAGGGCCTCCTGCTTGGCACGGAACCACATGAAGGTCTCATCCTTTAGAACACACCAGCGCCGTTTCCATGGGATCATCAGGCCTCCTGAACAAGTCAAAGGTCAAAGGTCAGACAAGGACAATGGGAATAAAGGGCAAAGGGTAATCCCCAACAACCGCCGTAACCTTTCCCCTCATAGCCCTGTGGGACAGGGCCCTTCCTACAACACATGTACCTGTGGAACTGGGCCTACCCCGTATTGCCCTCTGGGACCAGGTCCTTCACCCCAGTGCCCAAAGGGATTGGAGCCTTCCCCCAGTGCCTGTAAGACTGAGTCCTACCCCCGGTGTTACAGACTCTCTGCTCCCAGTACCGTGATCCAGACAACAGCTCACCTTTCATGTATAGGTAACCATGGAAGTACGGGGCCCTGGACCCACTGGTAATGGGCACTCGACAAGTGTTGAACTCTTCGTCAGTATCTGCTCGAAGGTCAAGCTCCTCCTCACTGTCCATAAACTGGCCAGAAAGAGAGAGAATGAGTGATCCCAGAAGCTCCACATACAATGTTATAACAACATAAGGACTAGGAGCAGGAGTAAGCAATTCAGCCCTTCAAGCCTGCTCCACCATTTAATATGATCATAGCTGATCTCATCTCAGCCTCAACTCCACTTTCCTGCCCGCATAACCCTTCCCACAATCCTTCAACCCATTATTCATTCAAAAATGGTCTATCTCCTTCTTAAACCTACTCAGTCTCCCAGTGTCTACTGCACTCTACGGTCGTGAATTCCACAGATTTACAACCCTTTCAGAGAAGTGATTCTGCCTCATAGAGCCATATATTATGGAAACAGACCGTTTAGTCCAACTTGTCCACACCACCCAAACATCCCAATCTAACTTACTCCCATTTGCCAGCATTTGTCCCATATCCCTCTAAACCCTTCCTATTCATGTACCCATCCAGATGCCTTTTAAATGTTGTAATCGTACCAGTCTCCACCACTTCCTCTGGCAGCTCATTCCATACACGCACCACCCTCTGCGTGAAAACATTACCAATCAGGTTCCTTTTTAGATCTTTTCTGTCTCACCTTAAACATACACCTTCCAGTTCTGGTCTCCCCCACCCTAGGAAAAAGACCTTGGCTATTCACCCTATCCCTGCCCCTCATGATTTTATAAACCTCTATAAGGTCACCCCTCAGCCTCTGACACTCCAGGGAAAATAGCCCCAGCCTATTCAGTCTCTCCCTATAACTCAAACTCTCCAGTCCTGGCAACATCCTTGTAAATCTTTTCTGCACCTTCAAGTTTAGCATCCTTCCTACAGAAGGGTGATCAGAAGTGTATGCAGTAGTCTAAAAATGGCCCCACCAATATTCCATACAGCCACAACATGACATTCCAACACCTATACTAAATGTTTTGACCAATGAGGGCAAGTGTTCCAAACACCTTCTTCATCACCTGTCTACCCGAGACTCCACTTTCAAGGACCAATGCACCTGCACTCTCAGGTCTCTTTGTTTGGCGACACTCACCAGGGCCCTACCATTAACTACATAAGTCCTGCCCTAGTTGGCTTTTCCAAAATTCAACGCTTCACATTTATCTAAATTAAATTCCACCTGTCACTCTAAGATAATCTTCTTCACTGTCCACTACACCACTAATTTTGGTGTCATCTGAAAACTTACTAACCAAAGCTCGTATGTTCATGTCCAAGTCATTTATATAAATGACAAAAAGCAGTGGACCCAGCATTGATCCCTGTGGCACACCGCTGGTCACAGGCCTCCAGTCTGAAAAGCAACCCTCTACCACCACCCTCTGACTTCTACCTTTGAGCCGATTTTGTATCCAATTGGCTCGTTCCCTCTGAATCTCATGTGCTCTAACCTTATTAACTAGTCTACCAAGTGGAATCTTGTTGAATGCTTTGATGAAGTCCATATGGGCCATGTCTACCGCTCTGCCTTCAATCTTCTTTGACCCTTCTTCAAAGCACTCAATCAAATTAGTCAGACATGATTTCCCATGTACAAAGCACGTTGACTATTCCTAATCAGTCCTTGCCTTTCCAAACGTATGTAAATCGTGTCCCTCAGAACTCTAACTCACCGACCACTGATGTCGGGCTCACCGGTCTAACAGTTCCCTGGCTTTTCCTTACAGCCTTTCTTAAATAATGGCACCATGTTAGCCAACCTCCAGTCTTCACCCATGGTACCTCACCCATGGCTACTGATGATACAAATATCTCAACAAGGGGACCAGCAACCTCTTTCCTAGCTTTTCCCAATGTTCTGGGAAACATTTGATCAGGTCCTGGGGATTTATCTACTTTTATACATTTTAGACCTCCATCACCTCTTCTTCTGTAATGTGAGCTCTTTTCAAAACATCACTATTCATTTCCCCAAGTACCCTAGCTTCTATGTCCTTCTCCACAGTAAGTATTTGTTTAGGATCTCACCCATCTCCTGTGGTTCCACAAATAGATAGTCAGGTTGATCTTTAAGGTTAGTTACACTTTTGCCACTGTTTATATCTGCTACCCCTTATCCTGAAACTATGACCCCTCGTTTTAGATCTAGGTGTCATTTGATAGTGAGGAGAATGGTCTCAGGCTACAGTCTGATATTGATCAGACTGGGCAGATTGGGCAGAGCAATGGCAGATGGAATTTAATCCCAATAAGTGTGAGATCTAATGAGGGAAGGGCTTACACAATGAATGGTAGGTGCCTAGGGAGTACTGAGGAACAAAGGGAACTTGGTGAAAAAGTCCATAGATCCCTGAAGGTAGACACACTGGTGAAGAAGGTATATCATATGCTTGCCTTCATTAGCTGGGGCATAGAATCCCTGCAGTGTGGAAACAGCCCTTCAGCCCAACAAGTCCACACCAAACCTCAGAGCATCCCACCCAGACCCATCCCCCTATAACCCACCAAATCTACACACCCCTGAACACTACAGGCAATCTAGCATGGCCAATCCACCTAGCCTGCACATCTTTGGACTGTGGGAGGAAACTGGAGCACCCGGAGGAAACCCACGCAGACACGGGGAGAATGAGCAAACTCCACACAGACAGTCACCCGACGCAGGAATCAAACCCAGGTCCCTGGCGCTGTGAGGCAGCAGTGCTAACCACTGAGCCACTGTGCCACACAATTGAATATAGGAGCAAAGAAGTCTTTTTACAACTTTATAAACATTACTTGGGCTACAGATGAAATATTGTGTGCAGTTCTGGTTGTCACACTATCAGAAGAATGTGACTGCACTGGAGGGGGATTACAGAGGAGATTCACCAGGATGTTGCCTGGGATTGAAAGTCTCAGTTATAAAGAGAGACTGGATAGACTGGCTTTGTTTTCCCTGGAACAGAGAAGGCTGAGGGGGAATCTAATTGAGGGATAAAAAATTATGATAGGCACACACAGGGTCGATTGTGAGAATCTTTTCCCCGTGGCAAATGTGTCTGAGACCAGGGGGCATAAATTTAAGATGAGGAGCAAGTGGCTTAGGGGGGATCTGAGGAAACATTTTTTCACCCAGAGGGTGGTAGAAATATGGAATATGCTGCTTGAGAGGATGGTGGAGGCAACATTTAACAAGCTTCTGGATGAACACTTGAAATGCCAGGATATAATAGGCCAAATGGAAGTAAATGGGATTTGTTCTGAGGAAGGGTCACTCAACCCGAAATGTTAACTCCGATTTCTCTCCACAGATGCTGCCAGACCTGCTGAGCTTTTCCAGCAATTTCTGTTCTTGTTTCTGATTTACAGCATCTGCAGTTCTTTCAGTTTTTAAATGGGATTAATGTTGTTTTGGTGTTTGTTGGACACCAGTGGCCCAACCTTTTGTGCAGCACCTTATCACATGCCTTCCGGAAGTGCAGATACACTACATTTACAGGATCCCCATTATCCACATTGCTTGCTATTTCTTTGACGAAGTCTTGTAAATTAGTTAAACACAATTTACCTTTCATAAAATCATGCTAACTCTAATGGATTGTATTTTTAACTTTCCAAATGTCCCATTACTACTTTCTTAACAAAGTTGCTGGAAAAGTTCAGCAGGTCTGACAGCATCTATGAAGGAAAAAACAGAGAGTTAACGTTTCGGGTCCTGTGACCCTTCCTCAGAAAGCAAGGGTCACAGGACCTGAAACGTTAACTCTGTTTTTTCCTTCACAGATTCTGTCAGACCTGTTGAAATTTTCCAGCAACTTTGTTTTTGTTCCTGATTTACAGCATCCACAGTTCTTTTGGTTTTTACTACTTTCTTAACGATGGATTCCAACAACCTTAACATGTGTCATTCGGAATTAAGTAGCCTACAATTTCCTACTTTCTGCTTCCCTCTCTTTTTGAATAAAGGAGTTATATTGGCATTTTCCCAAACCACTGGAATGTTTTCTGCATCCAGGGAATTTTGAAATATTATATCCAGTGGATCCACTGTCTCTGCTGCCACTTCCTTTAAGACCCTGGGATGTAGGCCATCAGGCTCTGGAGACTGAACTGTCTTTAATGCCAAAAGTTTCCTCAATGTATTTCTCTAGTGATGATCACCATTGTAAATTCCTCCCTTTCTATAAACTCTGCATTACCTGTTACTATTGGGATTGTACTAGTCCACCACGAAAACTGAGACAAAGTATTGATTTAGTGCCTCTACCGTTTCAGTTCCCCACTATTAACTCCCAATCTCATCCTCTGAGGAGAAAACATTCATCTTGGCTTCTCTCTTCCTTTTTATATATTTATGGAAGCTTTTGTTATCCATGATGCCAGAATACCCTGCATTGTGCAATCCAAGAAACTCCTCTGAACAGTTTGATCCCAGAAACTGTTTGCCCTCCCTACAACCTCAGAGTTTAGTAATGGGAAGGACAGTGGGGACGGAACACCTGCTGACACTCTGAGGGTGAGAGCTCACAGCACAATTGCCATTGTATAATATGGTGCCAGTCACTAAATTGTGAACATTTATATCGGCAAAAGTTCTCAGAGTTGCAGTTTTAAGATTTTGATATGTTTTGAGATAGTAATGTTTATTCAGCAGTTCCCAATTCGATAAGGGTTATCAAATATTTAATAAAAATTGTCCTTCAATTTAACTCTAATGTAGAAGCTTCCTTGTTGATGCTCACTTTGTGCTCTGCACACGAGGGTGTATCAATATGCAATGACGCTTATCTGCTAACCTGCCCTACGGTAAAGTCAAAGAAGAGAATACCATTTGCAACATCTTGATTAGAAACAGAGTTGCATGAATTTTATGTTGCAGCATTTCCTAATTGTGCTGGTGTTTTCTCCCTGATGCCTGCTTCACATTTCGAACCAGAATTGGAGTTTCTATGATTGTCAGCATTGAAATATAATGTCCAAGGATCCAATCATTGGTGTAGAACATCGCTAAAACCATGCATTTAAAAAAAAAATCACAGAAAGTGGCCATTCAACCTTTCTAGCTTGTGCCAGCTCTTGGAAAGATCTGTACAATTATTTCTCACACACCTTTGCTCTTCCCTCAATTCCTCTGTGAAAGTTCCTATTGAATTTGCTTCCACCAGTGGTAGACACCACTGTGCCCCACCTCCCCACAACCCCATCCCAACCCACCACCTTCAATACCCCACCACCACCACCACCTGGTTCTTTTGACAAATAGCTTCACTCTGTGTCGACTGGTCCCAGTACTCCAGTCACTAGAAACATACTGCATTTACAACCAAACATTGGGAAGACTGAAGCCAGTGTCTTAGGTGTCCACTTTCAAACCCATCCCTCTGCCTGATAGAACCAGACTGCTCAAACATAGGTAACATTCTACACTCTGAGAACAATTTTTGTCCTTACATCCTCATAGATGTTCCATCACTAAGACCCATCTCTTTCTACCTCTACAACATCAACCAGCTCTACCCCCCCCGCCTCAGCTCATCTGCTGCTGAAACCCTCATGCAAGCCTTTTCTCCCTCAAGACTCAACTATTCCAATGTGCTCCCAGCTGCTCTCCTGCATTCTACCCCCCAGAAACTTGATGTCATCAAAACCTGGTAAAGCAACGACATGAGTTAAAAGTTTTCAGCTTTGTTTACAAATTCCTCCGTGGCCTCACCCCTCCCTATTTTTTTAAACCCCTTTTGCCCTATAAGCTTCCGATATCTCAGTGCTTCCCTGATTCTGGTTCTGTAACTCTTCCTGATAGTAATCACTTTGTCATTAGCTGCATGGACCTAAGTTATGGAATTCTCTTCCTGACCCTCTCCACCTCCCTTTCCTAATCAGTTCAGAGTAAACCACTCGGTCAGAATGAGGGAGACTTCACCACAATGAGACTGAGACAGAGTGAGTATCCTTGAATTTGGGTCAAACTGAGAAACGAGCAGGAAAATCATTTGCAAGTTTAATTTAACCAGATTGATTGATGGGATGGTAGGACTGACATATGAAGAGAAACAGTATCAGTTATGACTATATTCACTGGAGTTTATAAGAATGACGGGGTGGGGGGAATCATATAAAATTCTTAACAGAAGTAAACAGGGTAAATGCAGGAAGAATGTTCCTGATGACTGGGGAGTCCAGAACCAGGGATCATACCTTAAGGCTTAGGACTGAGATGAGGAAAAACGTCTTCATGCAGACAGTAGCGAGCCTGTGGCATTCTCTGCCATTGAAAGCCATTGTGGTCAAAACATTGAATGTTTTCAAGATGGAGTTAGATATAATTCTTAGGGCCAAAGGCTGCAAAGAGTCATAGAGTAATGCAACATGGAAACAGGCCCTTCGGCCCAAACTGGTCCATGCTGACTATGGTGCCCACTCAGCTAGTTCCAATTGCCCACATTTGGTCCATATCCCTTCCAAATTCTTCCCACCCATGTACCTATCCAAATGCTTTTTTAATGTTGCTATCCTGTGTGAAGAAATTTCCTCTCAGGTCCATCTTAAATCTTCCCCCTCTCAACTTAAACCTATGCCCTCTCGTTTTCTATTCCCCATCCCTAGGAAAAAGACTACATACATTCATCCTATCTATCTATCTATCCTATCCCTCATGATTTTATACACTTCAATAAGGTCACCCCTCTATTTCTTGGAACGTAGGAGATTAAGTCCTATCCCGGCCAACCTCTCCCTATAACTCAGGCCTACTAGTCCTGGCAACACTCTCGTAAATCTTCTTTGCACATTTTTCCAGTTTAACTATCTCTTTCCTACAACAGGGTGACCAAAACTGTACACAATATTCCAAGTGCGGCCTCACCATCAACTTATACAACTGTAACATAACGTCCCAACTTCTATACTCAATGCCTTGACCAATGAAGGCCAGTATGCTAAATGCCTTATTCACCACCCTGTCTACCTGTGAGGCCGCTTTCAACAAACTATGTACTTGTACTCGTAGGTCCCTTTGTTCCACAACACTCCTCAGGACCTTATCATTTACTATACAAGTCCTACCTTGGTTTGACTTTCCAAAATGCAACACCTCACACTTATCTGTATTGAATTGCATTTGCCAATCCTCAGCCCACTTCCCCATCTGATCAAGATCCCTCTGTAATCTTTGATAATCTTCTTTGCTATCAACAATATTTCCTTGTTTTGTATCATCCGCAAACTTATTAATCATGCCTTGTACATTCAAATCCAGATCATTTATGTAAATAATAAATAACAAAGGCCTCAGCACCAACCCTTGTGGCAGACCACTAGTCACAGGCCTCCAGTTTGAGAAACAACCTTCAACCATCACCCTCTGCTTCCTACCATCGAGCCAGTTTTGTATCCAATTAGCTAGCTCTCCCTCGATCCCATGCGATCTAACCTTCATGACTAGCCTGTCATGTGGGACCTTGTCATATAGACAACATCCACTGCCCGACCCTCATCTATCCTTTTGGCTACCTCTTCAAAAAACTCTAAAAGATTTGTCAGACATGACTTCCCGTGCATAAATCCATGCTGACTATCCCTAATCAGACCTTGGTTTTCCAAATGCTGGTTGATCCTGTCCCTCAGTATCCTCTCCAATAACTTGCCTACCACTGATCTCAGGCTCACTGGCCTGTAGGTCCCTGGCTTGTCTTTGCTACATTTCTTAAACAATGGAACAATGTTAGCCACCTTCCAGTCTTCCGGAACTTCACCAGCGGCTAAAGGACTCAGGGAAAAAGCAGGATGTTTAGGAAAGACAGACAAGAAAGAAAAGGAGGCGGACTTGTTCTGATAATAAGGGATGGGATCAGTATATTCAAAAGGGAGGATTTCAGTGGCCTGGTCAGGTGTGGTCAGCACTGCCCCCAGTGGCCTGGTCAGGTGTGGTCAGCACTGCCCCCAGTGGCCCGGTCAGGTGTGGTCAGCACTGCCCCCAGTGGCTTGGTCAGGTGTGGT